TATAATACAAAGCAGTGGTATTTTATGAAAAGAGTGTTATTAAGAATTTACTGTCTTCCAACAATGATGCACTAGCACCCCTATGAATAATAAGGAATGGGAATAATATAATACAAAGCAGTGGTATTTTATGAAAAGAGTGTTATTAAGAATTTACTGTCTTCCAACAATGATGCACTAGCACCCCTATGAATAATAAGGAATGGGAATAATATAATACAAAGCAGTGGTATTTTATGGAAAAAAAATGCTATTAAGAATTTACTGCCTTCCAAAAATGATGCACTATCATCCATATGAATTAAAAGCACAAGAGAAAATTTGATGATCTGGTTTCCTGTTTAGTCTTCATTGGTAGAAAAGACTAACATCATACGTAGGCTTGCAGTCTTCCCCACACACAGTTTGTTACTTCCCCTCACTAACAATCACTGCACAGAGGGGATTTTAGCAAATTAGGGGACTTTGTCATCATCAAATTTATAATGGTTATAAGGCATGCCAGAAAGGGAGTGGCCAAGCTGCATGTCAGCAAGAGCCCCATGTTGGAATTCTGGTAAGTTCGAGAGCCGCCACAAGATTTTCCAAAAAGCCATAAGTCCATATTAAAATCATTTTAAAAGCAGTGTCTAAACAATAATTTAATATCAGTTAGCCCCTCTTTCTTTTGGATATTAAGTAGTTTTAGTTTACCATTTTTCATACATATACTTTATTTGCATAAGAACTGCATGTGGCTCACATGCCACACTATGGCTATAGGCTATTGTATGAGAGAGTTTTGTTTAAGATGTTTCTCCATTATAGTGTCCATCAAAAGATAATACTGATGGATGTTTTGTCATAATAACCTACCTCATTTTATTTGAACATTATATGTTAGGGCAATATTAAGTACCTTTATGTACTCCTATCCCAAGAGTTCTGCAAGCAACAAATGACTCTGTATCAGACACACAATAAATGATGTTAGAAACATCTTTCATTAATTATAACATTGTAGATGTTTATTAAAGTTATCAGTTGGATATGTTATAAATTAAATGTACTAAATAAAGCAAAGCTTTAAATTACTACAAAAAGAATTTATTGCTTTTGAACTGCTGAATTTGTACAGCAATTACAGATTTTTATTACATTTGAAAGATAAATCAGAAATGTTATACCAAATGGTAACACACTGAGAACTTGCATGAGGCTGAATGGAAAGATATAAACCTTCTTTCACAAGCACACCAGAAAATACCATGTGAAATTTTCATAAAAAAATTATACAGATAGATGAATTTTGTGATAACTGTATGGAACATGAAGATAGCTGCCAAGTTTGTGCTACAAGAGTTAAGTAACAAATCATTTATTAATCAATCATCAATTACTGAACTGCAAAATACCTCAGAATACCCAAATACCTCAGAATTTAATTGCTGCTGATAATGAATAGTTTATGGATACATCCTGAAACAAGCAACACTCGTTCTAATAGAACATCTCAGTTTTCAGATAATATATAAAGCTTTTCAGATATAGCACTGTAATTAATTCACTGAATTGCTTCTTTGGCATTAAAGAGATTTCTCATGAAGAATTTGTCTATGTAGGTCACATTGTTAAAACCAGACTATTACTTCCTGTGTGCATAATTTTAAAGAAATGATGAACACTTCTAACTAATTTTTCTTGAAATTTGTAGCTCTTTTTCACAATATTGTTGATTGAGATTTATTCACAGAGTCATAACATAATTCAATATTTAGTTTTTAGTGCATTTATCATATCAGTAATAATTTTAACTACTTTGACATGTACTTAACTTCCATTTCATTTTACATATGATAAGTTAAGACAAGTTAGTACTCACTGGGTACACAGCAAAAGTATTCACTTTCATAAAAACATGTATACTTTCAATATGCCCTAAATAGAAGCATGCTAATAGATTATGAAAAGTCACAGATGTATAAAAACACTACAATTTTTGGCACACATATTCATTTCTTATACAAATTTAACTTGTATTTCTGAATAACTGATTTGCTCAAGTTGATGTACAGAAAATTTTTAAGATCATATCAAAATTATTTGGACGAAATTCAATAGGAACACTCCTATGATAAAGGCTTGATATTTCAACTGATTGGGCTTTTGCTTCTGTCAGTATTTCTTGAATGGAATAAAAACTTATTTGCATATTTTAAATAAATAAGGGCACATTAAAGTTGCATTAATATAGTGAAATAACTTATACTCTTCAAAAACAATATTTATGAAAGATATACAAACAATAACATCAGCATTAATTTGAAGCACTCAATGGTTTACAATCTGTAAATTTTGATATATGACTGCACATCCTCAAGGCACTCCTTTAAAAGTTTATGAATTCATTATTACAAAATAAGTGATTTAAAGTGAAATTTCATTTTCCATATATTGGAAACATGAAAATTTGTATTCTATGCATTATAATGTCATAAAAGCCAGAAATCTGTATAAAAGCAATTACTGCCTTTTGTATACAGATTATCTTCATATGATGATATAACTCAATCATTTTTTCAAAAACTTTCTCTACAACTGATTGTCATCTCCTACACACAGATTTTATAATTTGCTATTTGAGAGTTCAAGTGAATGAATAAGGTTATTTAGTAACATCATAGCATTAAGAACACTAATAAGCTTTATTATAAAATCATATTAATTAGAAATCTATACATAGACAGTAAAACTGTTTAAACTAAAAATAATGTGCAGCTATTAATAGTTTTTTGCACTTACCCCAGAAGTGGCTTATATACTCCAACAAGTCATGTGATGTTAAAGGAAGCAAATTTCCTCTTACGGTACTACAAGGTTATCTGTAATTCATTGGGCTATTATTCTGCTTTCCCTTATAAGAAAGAGTTAAAAAGCATGTCACACTGACATTACCATAAAGAAGGATTTATGATATTGTCCGTGGTTATATAAGATAAGTTTTGATCTTTCAATCATTAATGCTACAATAATGAACAAAGATCTCTGTTAATTCAGTATGTTATTGAAATTTATATATTGAACTGACAATCTTTTTCAGTAGTAAATGCTGAAGGTTTTCTTTTCAGTGAAAATATTTGTATTTTAAGTAACAACCTATGATGCAGATACTGAATATCGCCGCCCGGACAGTATAATGGTTACGAAAGCCGAAGATACCGAAGGGCCCGGCTTCGAATCTAGGAGAAGGCATGGATGTAAATTGTCTGTCCCCTTATGAGAGATAATGGTGGCCACTTGTTAGGTGCATCCACAATAAAATGGCTACAACTTTCGGGCTTAGGCATGGCCAATGCTGAAAAGGCAAGAGCCTGGCGTTTGATTAATATATATAAATATATATATACATACTGATTATCTCAGGAACAGAAGTTGTACAACCACTGCAAAAAACCACCTTAAAAATATTATTTGTTGCTGATGTATCAACTTAAAAAACTTAATTCAGAAGTCAAACAACAAAAATCAGCGTTATATTTTCAAAACTGCAAATGTGTTGCAGCTGAGGATGGTGGTTCGGTAAAACCATCGAAACTAGTCTTGAAAATTTTGAAAATATAACACTGATTTTTGTTGTTTGACTTCTGAACTAGTATTCATTCAGTGTGTTATTGTGTCTTAATTAAAAAACTTATTTATTTAAAAATAATAAGTAAAAATTAAAATTATCTAACAACTCAAATATTTATTTCTATATTCAAATGAATACTTTTTTTGCTTATTCTATCTGTATGCTCTAAAATTTTTTACCATCAATTTTACTTACTTTCTCAAATCTACTTTGGGTTTTAGAAAACTTTGTTGTACATTTAAATGATATGATTATTTTATTAACAGAATAATGAAATGATTTTTATTTTTATTTATGCATCTCATTTTCAGGAGTTATAGACAATCTCTAACATAACCCTTTTTAATTATATCTTTATCTGTACACATCAAGGTTCTTGGAACTTATTTACTAGTAATTTTGTAATAATGATGAAAGATGTGAATACAAAGATATGTACTGAAGATAATATGTGCAATTATATCAAAATGTTGACAATCTGCAAGCCAAAGAATGTTGTTGATTAACATGTTGACTGATGCACACATTTTACATGGTTTGCCCATAGCTCTAACATAAATTTTTTATTATGCGATGTATATTATGTTGAAATATTATCTTCAGAAGATAATGTGAGTTATATAATCGCATTTAATACACTTTTCAAGGTGGGGATTACCGGTGACCCCTGAGGTGCTGTAGGCCATTTTTGCAATTTATTATTCTTCAACCATTATAGTAACAATGGCATTATTTAAAAATTTATCAGTATCGATATTTACTCTAATTATATACTTTTGCTATTGGTCACCAGCAGCCTCCACGGCACTGCAGCCAAGTCAAATGCCGGACACCTTGTGACCCCCACAGCAGTCAACGTGTTAAGTTGCTTTTAGCACACCTGCTTTAATCAATTTTCTTTTGAAATAATAATAAGCAGTTTATCCTAGAAATGAATTATAACTAAGTATATTACCTGGATGGACCTTATGTATTGATTAATCTATTTTAAACTGTTTCTATAAATACTTCAATACTTGAAGATAAGCATGAATGCTTACAAAATAATTAAAAAGAAACTCTCTGTAATTGAATGTTACAATAAAATTCATGAAGTAAACTCTATAGAATACATATTCATTTGAGAAGATGTATAAATAAAATATTAGCTGGATGAAATAATGCAGCATCATTCTATATGAGTCCTGACATAAATATGGCCTTTACAGTTTTATAAAAACTTATATAAACTTAAAATATTAATTTTTAGTAAGGTATATTAAATTTACATGATTTCATATTTTGTTAGCTGACAATACATACTATGTTCAAGAGAGGATAGGATCATTTTTTGAAAGAAAATACAGATTTTTAGAAAATAATGAAGTTAACTACAGCTAAAATACATTGGATCAAAAATTGTAAGTATATATATATAATAAAAAATATCACAAAAAAAAGCTATAGTAGAGATCAGAAATCTAAATTATCATCTTCACTCATTGGATCAGCTTGGACAAAGCTGCTGCTAGCATGGCGAGTCAATAGTGCATGGCTTGCCGAGTTCCTCAGTCTAAAGAAAAAAATTAGTCCATGTTCAGTTTATTTGAAATAAATTGCAAAATAAAAATAATAATTTTTCAAAAATTTCAACACGGCAAATTTAACTTGGCAAGATTTGTGAAAGAATTTAAATACGGTCTTAATGAAAAATTCCTAATTAAATGTCTCCATAAATTATTACTTTTAATAGTTTATATTTACTTAATTAGCTTTAGAAAATATAAAAAAATACAGAATGCCACTTGATAAATTATTTTTTCTGTCATGTTTTTAGTCCCATAAATTTGGTTTTAATTTCAATATTTTGCTAATAATCATTGGTTAAACACTGTAATTTATGTTAACTAATGCTTTTGTACAAATTTCTATTAATAATTTTTCATTCAGTATCAATTACGCCTTATTTCTGTCATTATCTTTTAAATTTGATAACCAGCGTGTATTCAAATTCAGAAAAACAATTCAATCAGTAAAATTTATTGGTAGACTACAGAGCTTAGGGTTTCACTGCAATGAAACAAAAGTCATTCGAAGAAAACTAAAATTCACTAAAAATGAAGAAAAATAATTTTGACAAACTTCTACAAACAAAAGGCTCACTACAAAAAGATCATAACAGAAACAAAAATATTGTATGTACAATAAAGATATATTTATAACCCACTATATAAAAATGTAGCTAAAAATTTTTAAAACCTACACAGATTCAACCTTCCAAATAATGCAAAAATAAATCTAGGCAATAACATACATATTGCTCTCAATAACAATAAATGGCATCCTAGATACAATGTTCAAACAAGATTTTCCTAATCAGAATGCAGTATGTGGCAAGTCTTTCCAGAGAAAACAGACATGATTCTATTCATAATAAAAGAAATCTCACCCATAATAAAAAGCCTAGCTAGGTGTAAAGCCCTAGGACCAGACAGGGTTGACAACCACATCATAAAACTTGTTCATGTAATCAATAACAATTTAATTAAGAATTTCTGTAATAAACGTCCTGAAAAACACAACCCTCCCAAATGTTTAAGAGCAGGTCAGAATGTACTATTCACAAAAAAGTTCTAAAAGCTAGGCTTACCCAAATCTTATGGGCCAATAAAACTTCTTCCAGCCTAAGAAAAGTATTTAAAAAAGGAATAATGGGAAGATCCAATGTAAATATTTTTATAGTTAGTCTTTATGTAAGTTATCTAAGTTCAATGACTGAACAATTGCTAGGGCACAGAAAATTCTGCAAAACTGCAAACATCCCTTTTTTCAATATGCATTTGGTATTAAAAAATATAAAGCAGTCCTGCCTTCATTCTTATGAACAAAATCTAAAAATTATGCAATAGCTGTTTTCAAGTAACTGCATTGAAATGCAGATTTATCCAAGTGACTTTATTCAATAAAACCCTTTTAGGAATTGAAACAATAAAACACTAAAAAATTTAAAAAAAAAGCTTTCAGATTTTATATTATGCCCAAAGGGGCATTTTTTAATATTTTGTCTTTTACCTTTATTTATTATATATCATGTTCTTCGCACTTAAACCATAAAATTCAATTCAAATGCAATATCACAAAATAATTTAAAAAGAGCATATCTTTAGAACTTCCGATACACAGTCTTGCAGGCTGAAGATTTTTTTTTTTTTTTTTTTTTTTTTTGGTACAGTGTTGTTATTGCTTGCTCGCTTTGAAATTAACGAGTTTGTTAATAAAAAATTCTTTAATGTTTTAAAAATATGAAATAGATAATAAAACTAATTTCAAATTAGGGCTTTTATATGAGCATATTCGAATAGAGGACTATGTTATTCAAAATTTGATGTCTCTAGGTACAGTTGTTTTTTTACAGTGCGAGAAACACGCATGCATTCATACAGATTCTTCATTATTTAATTTCTTCAAGTATAATGCAGGGCTCTAATATTTGATGGCAACAATTTGAAAAGTGAAACTGCCACAAAATGCTAAAACGAAATTAATAGCCCTTCTGAGCTAACGCCCTTTGGGCTATAAAAGTTATAACTTTTTTAAGTTACTAACAGTTAACAGCTGAAAGCATGACCGAAATGCATTTTTGAATTCTGAAAAAAAATTGAATAAATTATAAAGGAAAATGGATTCAGTTATAATATGATTTTAAAGAACCCAGTGGATAGTTGCCACCTAATGATAAGTACGACCTAAAAAATGAAATTAATTTACCCTATGAAGAATGTCAAGTCATCAGTTGAAAAGGATACAAAATTTTGTTGAAAAGGATACAAAATTAATGCAAATATGAGTATTTAGATTTATAAATCTTACAATTAAATGTAATAAAGGTTATGAACATATGCACTTTTTTACTTCCTTGTACAAATGAAAGGAAGTATTGCAAAAAAAAAAAAAATTTACTGTACCATATTTCAATGGAAATATTCATATTGATCAATTCCGAATGTTACGTCTGTATACATGGTCAAAATAAAGGACTCTTTTTTTTTCCAAAACAGATTGTAAAATGGATTCAAAAGGGATTTTTTTTTTGTGATGTTTGTACATACTTATGTATCTCACATAACTGAAAAACAATTGGCCATAGAGTTTTGAAATTTTGTATATGGAACTGCTATTATATCTAGTTGTGTATGGCCCTTTTTTATTTCAATCGACTATACCAAACATATATATATATATATCCTACTCCCTTACCCAGCTTTTATTGCTGTAATTGTTGGTTGTAGTCATATACTTCCAATTATAGAAGTGTTTTAAATGACAAAAATATTCACGTTTTGGCAATGTCAAATTTAAAAAAAAAAAAAAAAAAAAATTATTGAAAAATTATTAAATCAAACTTTTAATTCGTTCTCCCAATTTTTTTACTTATATTTGGGAAAGTTTTACACTCATAATGAAAAAATAAAAATATAAGAAGTTTGACTACCGTATTAAAGAACTGAACGGGATATATAACTTCAAAATTTGCAATTTTTAGTGTCATTCTCAACTTGCCTTGACAAATCAGGCTATACAAGGAAATCATGTGTTGTTTGTTCACATCAAATTTTTTTAGAAGAGACCAATATTTTTAATCAGAGCTTAGATGTGGATTTGTGATCACATGTGTTACAAAATAAATTTTAAAAAAAGGGGTGGACAAAAGTTAAAAAAAAAAAAAATGTTACAAAGTGAGATAAACAGACAGATAGCCATTATTACATATAGACAGTAGAATTCCATTAAAAAAATTCCCAACTTAGGATGCATTTAATTTAAAATATTTATTTTGTGTATACTAGCTGCAATTTAAAGACAATATGCGCTTCCCCTTTAAGGTGCTTTAAAAAAAATCTCCCGAGAAATGGCTTTAGGAGTTTTGACCATTTACAGATTTCAGATGGTTGATATTTCATCATAAATCATTTCTCACATGCTTTGAGTATCAACTATACATAAAATAATATATTTATAATTAAGGCACTGTCTATATCAGTATAAGAAACAATATAAAATAAAATTAACATAGCATAAAGTTTGCCGTGTTGAAATTTCTGAATGATTATTTGAAAGCTCATTAGATTATTTTTACCTCAAATAAAATAAATCAATCAAAGTCTAAGGGATATAATTAAACATTGCATTAAGATATACTTAAAAAGTAATACAATAATTTTTTTTAATGTTTTTTATCAAGAAAAATATGTAAGTTGACAAACTTGCATATTGTTGAATATATTGCAAGTTTAACAAAAAAAAGGTGAATAATTAATATATTTATTAACAATAAGTTATAAAGGAGAACTTAATTAACATATAGTAATTAAAAATTAATTATGTGACTAAAATGTATATTTTTTATTATTCATTTTTATTGTTTTTATCAATTAGTAAATAATATCTGAGATAAATTACGATAACAGAGAAGAATAAAGGAGATGAAAATACATGCAGTTAGTACTAACCATAGGTATGGCAGATGGGTCTTTTCCTTTGCTACAGACAGAAACCAAAGCCACGTGGAAATGAAAAGAGATAAATAAATAATCAGAGGCACAAATTAAGATCATGAAGTAAATTCCCCAAAATATTACGCTTTTAGATAGAATCCAATCTATTTTAATAACAATCCTATATAATATATGATGAAATTAAAACATAAAAATCTTAATATGTCATATAAACATACCTAGTTTGCAAATGTTCCACTTGCACTTGCAAGCTTTCGATTTGCTCCTGTAATTCATCATTTGTTCTTTGAAGTTTTCTAATATTATTTGTGGCACTATCGACCTAAAGTACAAAATGCCTTCTACTAAATAATGGAGACTTACAAACAATTATGATACATGAAATTTCAAAACATAAATTAAATGCATTGTTAAATTAAAATAATTATACTGCTATTTCAGGGTGGGGGAATGAGGTATAAAAACTAGAAAACTGAACAACTAATTATTAAAGCTGAAGGTAGCATTAGAAGAACAACCAGCATATTTTAGAAATACTCAAATTTATTTCCTTTTATCTGGAAAAGAAAATTTCTTTTGACTTCATTCCCCTGCCCCTCCAGTTATCTCTTAGATGAATTTTGCAATTACTGCTTTTGGCTAAAATCAACTCTACTTAAAATGGGTCCATCATTATTTTAAATTTTTAAAAAAATAATTAATTATTTCAGTTAAAATCTGAAGAGTCTGGAAATAAAAACAAGAAAGAGGGGAAAAAGTTAATACAGTAAACAATACAATTGTATTTCTCAATACAAAAGTATTTCCAATGAAAACATTATATAACAACATATGCTGCAAGCCTTGGTCACAGTCACCTGGCCATTAAGCAAACACATAGTATAATCTGAAAAAAAGACTTTCTTCATCATAAACATCTGTTTATTTTTCTCGTAAATTCTGGAAGCATTTATACTACTCAATTTGATTGACATTATACAATTTACATTTTGACTTTCTACGTTTAAGAACTCTGACAACACAGTTAATCTTGTATTTGGTGGGATCATCAATATCAAGAACAAGAATGAGCGAAAAGATGAACTTCACATGAAAAAAATGAAAGAAAATAATATAACACAATAATAATGGAAACTGCTATAAATATTTAAATACTTCTGATTGCATTGCTGTTTTTTATCCGTTATTGTAATATTGTGTGTTGTTGTTTTATTTATTTATTTTTTAACTTTCCCATTTTGAATAATTAGTTTATTTTGCATGTAATTGAATTTGTGGCCACACTTTTATACATAAGTGTTTATTTCTTAAGTAGTATGGTAGATCTTTCAATTCTGAATCCAATGATGTTTAAATGGCTAAAATAGCTCAACTAGAATGCAAGATTTGAGCAAAAATGCTATTGAGTGGCCTTTCCAGAAATTTTTTCTGTCAATTCGCAACATTTGGTGATTTCTCGCCAACTAGGCAATTTTTTGAAAGTTTAGGGAAAATAAATTATTGATGTTCTAGGACCCACTTTTACCAAAGCTTAGAAGCCTATGTAACACTATATAAATATGGCTCTATTGGCTAAGAGTTATTCAGTTGTTATTCAGGTCCAAGAGATTGCAACTGAAAAAGGGTTATTTTAGAGTTTACTCTGAGAATAATATCAGTAATTTATGGTATTTCTCGAGTGTTAACAAAAATGTGCTTAATGGCCACATTCTTCTTAAGCTATACACAACTATTCATTTTGTATATGCACTGTTGCATCAATAAATTATCAATATATTCTGGCTCAACTGGAGTATTTAAAGATGCAGTCACAAATCCGCAGCAGACAACACTATTTATCTAACTTTTATACAAAATTTTAAAAAAAACGTTCTTCATTCTTCTCATTTAAAATAAATTTGAGATTAAAATTCTTTAATTTTAAATTGATTTAATAATCTTATTTAAGGGAAGAAATAAACCTCATCTTCAGCAGAAGCCAACTCCTTTTTCAGTTCTTCTATCCTCCCTCTGAGTTTTTTTACTTCTGCTTCATACTGTTCTGAACGACGTAACGCATGTGCCAATTCAGTAGATTTATCCTGCAACACTTTCTTGAGTTTTGTATGGGCATGTTTCAAATCAGCTAATTCCTGTAGAAAGAAATGTAAATTTTGAGTCAAAAATTTTATATGACCTATGACTATTTATATTTTTCCTTCCTCCTGTTTTGGAAGAATAAAGAACATTCATAAGTATTGTATATAATACTGTCTCCTTAAACAAGCATCAGCAAAGTTGAAGTCATCAGACTTTTTTATCTAAATAAAAAATTACAACTATAAATTATCAGACAAACATAAATTTTAACTACCTTGAATCCTATTTCCAAAATAAATTTCTCTTTTGAATGGAAAAATTAAACTCAAGTCAAACAAATGACACTATATTTTATAATATGAACACATATCTAATTCATAGCTCATAATAAAATAAATACCAAAGGTTTAAAATATTTAACCCTTTGGATTTACAAATTTTAAACATTCACAAGAATTCTAATATCTAAGAACAAGAAAGAACATATAAATTAATTTTTATTTAAAAAAGCCGGCAATTCTTTTAAGCACATACATTAAGACAGTAGTCTCAAACTAGTTTGTAGTGGCCAAAAAATACATTTTAGCCATATATTTGTTGTAAATACAGTGCCAAAAATTTGTTGAAACAATAATTAAAACACGAAACTTTACTCGCAAACGAGCTCTGAACCATCGAGTTTTGATTCCCTGCTTGAAAAAACTTAAAAGTGAGTACAGAGAAATTAATCAGTATAACACGGTGAGGTAGTTATATCAATGAGATTTATTAAAACAGTTTTATGATTTAATAAATAAAATTAAAATTTTCATGACCCAAAAATAAATAAATAAATAAGTTAAATCATGGACAAGCTCTATAATGATACATGTTTAATAGATTTAGCACTTCGTTTCAACTAAAGCGAACATTTAAATGTTCTCAATGAAGAGCTCTAAGGAAAGAATAAACTTATCATTGACATGGTTGCTTGTATTAAACATTTTAGAGTTAAACTGCATTTATAGTAAACACAATGAGTGAAAATATTTCATACTTTTCCTACATCTTAAATTATGTCCTATTATTAAAAATGTCAAAAATCTGCAAGAAACAACCATTACTACAACAAAAATTTGAAGAAAGAACCATAGATTTTAATGATTTATTGTCCAATTTTACATGAGTTTCATTACCATTAAAATGAATATGAGTATTGCACCAAAAAAATCTATTAAAGGAGCTAATTAATTTACCAATGTGATACAAATCTTATTCAAGGATTTGAAGATACAATGGTTTCTTTATAACCTTTTATTTGTATTCTTCAAATCCTTTTATTCTTTTGACTGACTTTTATTCACATTAGTAAAAAGATAAATACCCTCAGTTATAAATTTATGCAATGAGAATCATGAGTTGTTTGTTTGGGATATGTGAACAACATTTTTCTCAAAAGAAAATTATTAAATCTGAGAAAAGAATCCAATTGGCTATAAGCATATACAATCCATGATGAAGATAGATTTTAGCAATTTTTCTCAAAGGCTACAAATTTATCAGAGTCAAAATGCCATCAAGTGTCACGGAGATGTAAGAAATAAAGAAGTTTATAACTCTTAACATAAAAATATATGTCTTTTTTCTGCATGTGTCCAAAAAATTAATAAATAAAAGAAAGTTGCCATTTTTTATTCTCACGTTTTGCCCTATTTCAAAAGTTATCTCTGAAAATTTGGAAAGTTTGTGTAAAATTTGTTTATTTTTAATTTAAGTAAATTATTTAAAGATTAATTCACATATTAGAATTATTTGATATAAATGTCAGTTTCAAAATTTAATATTTAGTCATCAATACATTTGAACTAAGATGAGTATTAAAAAAAAATGTCTTGCAAATACCAAAATTTAGATTTCAGATAGAAAATAAATTTGAAATTTTTTCTTTGTATTATTATTACTATTGTTATGTGTTGATAAATGTCTATAAAGGATTAGGCACCTAAAGAAAACAGAAGAAAAGAGCCATAATTTTAGCCACAGACAGAAGGAAAAAATTGAAAGTTTGAGAAATAAAAAAAAAAAAAAAAAAAAATAAGTGCAGAGCAAAACATCCTGGAAAACATAATTGAATATCATTGAAATAAGTTATTAATTAAACCATGTTTGAGTCACATTAAATTTTAAAAGTATAATTTCCAAACATGTAACACACCACACACATATATTACAAGTAACATCAAGTTATGATGCAATATATAAATATAAATTCATTCTTATTTTGTTTAAAACAAAAACCAGCCCATCAGCAGTTTTCAGATCATGCGTTTCCCCCTAATGTAATTTGAGAACACTACCTTAAGATATCTCTTTCTTTCTAGGATATACTTTATTTTCACATTTTCCTCCTCCTGTCAGCTTTAGATATAAATGATCCTGTATTATAGACCAGGCACCACCAAACTGTGGTTCTTGTTTCTTAAATGTGGCTTGAATTGGAATAAGCAGAAGTTTTACTTTCAAAGTAAAATTAACTATTTGAAGCAAATCTCACCCTATGTCCCATTTTATTATTAAATCTGTATTTCACTTTTCAAAATTAAATTATTTGTATAAATGCATAATACTTACTGATTGCCAAAGTCATAAACAAAAGATTAATAATCCCACTTTAGTAATTTGTCATCATACCTATGAATTACACAACAGGAACCATGTATCAGGACATCAATATGTTGGAACCAAATATATGTCAAATTTTACTATGACAATATATATTACAAATACCTGTAGTAGAAAACTGCACAAACGAAAGTAAAATGTATATGACTGATCCAAGTGAATTATGAATCTCTAATGAGATTTGAAGATCTCGTGCACTCCATGATTCTTCTTCCTGAATGATAATGGTATTTCAAAGACAAGAGAAGTGCACTGCTTCTACACAGTGGAAAATTTTATTATCAAGTCAAATTGGCAAATTTTATTGCTTTCTAACTCACTTTATTTTTTTCATGCAGTTCCACTTGAAGAGCTTTAACATCTGAGTCTGATGCTATTGTCATCTGTTTTGTTTTCCTCTCTAACCTCTCATCTAAATCCTCAATCTGAGTGCGCAACTTCTTATTCTCTCTTTCTAGAGCCAGTTTTTCTGTCTCCAAGCGCTCTCTTCTACCCCACTCAGCAGCATTTTCACCCTGAAGTCTCTCCAACTAAAATAAAGGTAAATCGAATAACTAGCAAAGAACTTCATTAATGTTATGAATAACTTTCTAAATTATTAAACAGCTTTCTTCAAAGTAATTGAGCTAAATTTAAGTTAAATGTTACTTTTTACTTGCTGTATTCATCTAGATATTCATCTACTATAGATTCATTTTGCCTTAGCTTTACTAAAAATAACAAAAATAAATAAATAAATAAATAAATCAGAAACTTAATAGGGTATTAAATAAAAAAAATGAAAAAAATTCATAATGTATATGACACTGAGTATTTTTTCCACCTGATTAAAAACGTGAAGCTACTGTTTATATAATCATCTAAAAGGTTATTAGTTCACTTTTCTAACAAAATAATTGTACGTTCCATTGTTTAAAAATAGTGGACTGTAAATTGACTTGATATTACTTCAGTATAGAACCCAAAAAAGCTCAGAATCATAACGTTGACCGAAACTTCTTTATTGACTTTCAAAGTAAGTTAGTTGAGGAACGGCGAAGACCACACTGCCAACTCCGAACTCAGTAGCGGCTTACCAACACAAACTCAGAAGAACCTCTGCCTAGTTGAAACTCCAGTAATTCACAGCAACCTCAAAGCTCTAAACGCGAGCTTTAAAAACCTAACAAATTTGCGTCTGCGCCGCTCCTCGGTACAAAGAAAGAAATACAATTTGCATAACATCGAACATACCCCCAGCCTTGAAGTCCCAAGGGGGTTCAAACAATAAATTTAAACTGTTGAACTGCATAAACCTGAAAAATAAAAATTAAAGTCTCTAAATCAGGAATTAAATGGCAAAGCGCATAGCTTTGCTATAGGTCGTTTTATTTCACCATTAGACGTGCGTAAACTCACCACTCGAACTTTCTCATCCAGACCAGGATACACTTTAATAATTCTACCTAATTTCCAACGTAGCGGAGGTAGATTTTCGTTCTTAATAAGAACCATATCACCAATCTTCAGATCTTGTTGTAACCTTGCACCACTTGGGTCTCTGCTGCAATCTAGATAAATACTCACTGCTCCATCGATTCCAGAAATGTTGAAATAACCTTTGCACGTTCCTCCAACGGTCACTGCAGCTCATGGTTTCTTGAATTTGGTTAGATTCTGGAATAGCGCTTAAAGCCGCTCCGGTTAAAAAGTGTCCTGGTGTTATCGCCTCCAAGTCGCTACAATCACTTGAAGCTGGTACCAAAAGGCCTAGAATTAAGACAGGATTCAATTTGGGTTATTAATGTCAAAAATTCCTCGTATGTTAAAATAAGTGTTCCTAAACATCTTTTTAAGTGATGTTTCATAGACTTGATACCCGCTTCCCAAAGCCCTCCAAAATGAGGGGCAGAGGGAGGATTAAATAACCATTTAATATTTTCTGAAGAAATATAACCCTGTAGCTGTTCATCACGTTGAACAATAGAAAAGGCTTTCCTTAATTCTTTATTAGCTCCTATAAAATTCGTTGCACAATCACTGTGAATTTCACACGGTTTGCCTCTACGAGCTATAAACCGCTTAAGTGTCGCGAGGAATGATTTTGTTGAAAGATCTCCAACTAATTCTAAGTGTATTGCTCTTGTAGTAAAACAAATAAATAGACATACGTAACACTTAAAGATTTTGACTCCTCTACCAGGACGATATTTTAACGTTAAATGGTCCTGCTAAATCAATCCCTACACGAGAAAAAGCTCTACTTTGAGTAACTCTTGAAGCGGGTAAATCTGCCATTAGCTGAGTTGCAGTTTGCGCTCTAACTCTACGGCAGATAACACATTGGTTTATACACTTTCTTATAATATCTCTAGCATTCACAATCCAAAATCTATGTCGTATGACAGAAGTGAGTAGCTGCGTACCTGCGTGAAGATACGTGTCATGATAATGCTTAATAATTAAACGCGTAATATTGTGATTCTTAGGTAAAATCATAGGATGTTTCTGATTATTTGAAACTGTAGAGTTTCTGAGCCTTCCGCCTACACGCATTACTCCCGCGAATCCAAGAAAGGACTTAAAGACAGTAATTTACTTGATGTCTTCAAGGGTTTACCAGATTCTAAACAGAATAATTCTTCTGGAAATTCGGCTCTTTGCACAATCCTAACAATCATAGAAGTAACTTCACAGAATTCTTCAGTAGATAAATAACCCTTTATACGCTCTGTAGGTAACTTACTACAATTATTTCTAAATCTTAAACACCACGCTAACACTCGACATAACTTTAACCATGATGAAAATCTTGAAAACACACTAGGCTCTTCAAATTTGGAAACATTTGAACTGAAACTCTTTTTCAATTCCTTCAACATAACTTCACCCTCTAATTCTACACTTGAATTTGCTGTGTACATGAATTAGGGATTCGTTTAACCACTGCGGTCCCTTCATCCATAACTCACATTGTAGGAATTCTGATGGAATAAAACCTCTGGTCCCACAGTCTGCAGGATTTTCTTTCCCAGCAACATAATTCCATTGAATACCTGGAACAGCTTCCTGGATTTTTGCAACTCGATTTGCCACAAAAGGTAGCCAACGGCGAGGTTCGGACGAAACCCATGCCAATGTAACCCGCGAGTCGGTCCATGCGTAAATATTGTTAATAGGCAGTTCTATGCATGATAATACTGCATGTAAGAGGTTGGTTAAAAGTAACGCAGCACACAACTCTAGTCTCGGAAGAGACTGGGTTTTTAAGGGCGCTACTCTGGTTTTCGATGTCAGAAGGCTGACTTTGACTGACGAATCAAGGTTGATTGTTCGGAGATAGATGACTGCACAATAAGCCTTTTCTGAAGCGTCGCAGAAAGCATGGATTTCTATAACTACTGCCTTCGGACTCAAGACATACCTCGGAAATTGTAAGCTTGAAAGTAAGGGCAATTCTAGATAGAAACGCTTCCATTTTCTACTTATTCTCTTATAAGTTTCATCCCAACCCAGCTGTAAGTTCCATAACTCTTGTAACAATATTTTCGCGTATATTATTGTTGGCGCTAACCATCCCATTGGATCAAAGATTTTGGCTACTTCTGATAAAATAGTCCTCTTAGTAAACTCTTTATCACTTATGCATACCGAAAAATGAAACGTATCACTAGAGTTGTTCCAATTAATTCCCAATACTTTTACTTTCTTGTCACTGTTTATTTCAAGAGAAATACTGGATTCTCGTAAGCACTCGGGAATATTCTCTAAAATAGCTGAACTGTTTGAAATCCACTTCCTTAAGCGAAATCCACCCCTTTTCATCATTTCATTCAACTGCTGAACTAGAACATTCGCTTCCTCTTCACTTTGTGCCCCTGAAAGCAAATCATCAACATAAAAATCACGAAGGGCAATTTTTGATGCTAAAGGAAATCTCACTTGTTCATCTAATGCAAGTTGTTTCATTACTCTAGTAGACAAATATGGCGCACAGGCAGTCCCATATGTAACTGTCACTAATCTAAATGTACTCAAGGGCTCACTAGGACTATCCCTCCAAAGCATTCGTTGCCAATTTGTATCTTCTGGGTGGACACGAATTTGTCTGAACATCTTCTCTACATCGGCACATACTGCAATTTTGTGAGTTCTAAACCGTAGAAGAATTGGAAACAGCTCTTGCTGAACTCTTGGCCCAACCATCAAAATATCATTCAATGAAAGACCCGATGTCGTTTTAGCTGAAGCATCGAAAACAACTCTCAGTTTAGTCGTAGTAGTACTTGATTCCTTTAATACGGCATGATGAGGCATGTAATACGTAGAGTCAATAAGAATCTCTCCCTCAGGCACTCCCTCCATATGTCTCAGCTCAAGGTATTCCCTCATGAAATCCTTATACTGTTCATATATCTGAGGCCTTTTTAGAAGTGAATTTTCTAAAGATTGGAATCTACGCATAGCTAATTGTCTGGAATCTCCAAGCTGAGAAGGCGGAGAGTGAAACGGTAATTTCACAGTATATACCCCACTTTCCTCTCTCGTATATGTAGATTTGAAATAATCTTCACATGCTCTCTCCGATTTAGTAAGCATGTCAAACGTAGGTACAGCATCCAATTTCCAAAAGTCAGACAGCATCTGATCAGTTTCCACTTGTATATTATTAACATAGATAGTAGGATTAATTTCTGTTGAATTATTCACACTACCTGAAATAATCCATCCTAGTTCAGAACGAGAAGCTACCGGTTTACCTTCTTCGCATTTAATTATTTCTCCCTTTAAAAGAGGTAAGGCAATATCTACGCCTAAAAGTAAAGTATATCAACAGGCCCACTTTTGTAAAATGTTGGATCTGCTAACATTAAATCATTATATTCCTCAACGTACTTCTTATCCAATGTAAAAATGCGGCAAAGTTCCAATAATTCTATTGATGATAAATACTGGTGTTTTAAATGACACTTTCGCCGGACGGAAAATGCGGAACGAAGTTTATTTCCGTAATTCCATTAGTTTTCGTATCCAAAGACCCTAAACATGAAATAAAAACTTTGGCATTTCTTCTTGCTAACCCTAGCCTTTGTACACAATCTTCTGAAATCAGGCTTGCTTGACTGCCAGGGTCAAGGAGGGCTCTACACAATTGGTATTCACCCGATGAATCTAACACTTTAATAACAGCCGTACATAATAAAACTTCACTCTGAAAATTAAAGTCTGAAACACAAGATTTAATTACTGGACTAGAAACTTGCGATATTCTCCCCTGACCCAGCCGATTGAGCGCGAGGTTCTGGCCCAGGGAAAAATGGCTTAGCCGTCACTGATAATTCATTCGAACTGTTCGTAACTCCTTTACGTGCCTTTGGTTCATTTTGAACTCTTTCGAAATGCAGTAGTGTGTGATGATTTTTAAAGCACTTTTTACATTTATGTGTACTTCTACACTCGAAAGCTTTATGATTTGAAACCAAACAATTAAAACAAACATTATTTCTCTTGACAAAAATTAACGCGTTCCTGAACATTCAGATTTAAAAAC